AGTGCAACAATGAATGAATGGAAACCCAAAATCTCTGTAAATGTTTATGAAAATTAATAAAATATAATTATAGAAAAAAAAATCATGTATGAGCTGATTGGATCTGCTGGATTTAGCTAACAATGAGCTGTGGCTGGAAGTCTCTTGTTTAGAGGCAATCAGGATCTGGTGGGCAGGCCTTTGTATTTAAAAGTAGGTTGTGGCCTTAGGCTTTTGGCCCTTGGTCTGGTGTTAATTGTGGTTGGGATGAACATTCTTCTAAGTGATACAACAATGGTCTGTCAATTTGCTGAGGTAATTTGAGATTGTTGTGATGCCGAAGACTGTGCCACTGGCATGTCAAATGCCATGGTGGACAGTGTTTGGTGGCATTCCCAGATTAAGACAGGTTTGGCAGCAGGAGTGGCATCCACTCCTTAAACAACATGCCTCTGGAAACTCTTTGGAACAATGATAGTTATAGGACGGGGTTCAGATCTTCTGTTCATAGAGTTGCTATGAGTCATGCTTGACTCAATGGCACTTAACGACAACAACAACTGGGAAAGATGAACTGGGAAAGATGAAGAGTCAAAGAAAGAGAGGAAGGCCCTCAACAAGGTGGACTGATACAGTGATTGTCACAATGGGCTTCAGCTTATCAGAGATCATGAAAATGGCACAGGATAGGGAAGGGTTCAGATCTGCTATTCACAGGGTTGTTATAAGTTGACTCAATGGCTCTAAAAACGAACCTCTTTTAACATTCCCTTTTTTCTTTTGGTTAAACTTCTTCATCATTTCAACCTCTAAATTATAAACTGGGGACATTTTTATCATTACTTTTGCTTTGCTTTTGTTGTATGTTATAGTACCTTTGTTATGAAGCATTTGTGATTTGCTTTTCTCTATTTCTATTCATATTTTGTGAGAAGGGTTTTAAGGGTTTTTTTTAAGTTTAAGTGAAAAAAATATATTATTCCTGATGCTACCCTATCCATATTTTGTTCTAACATTCACATACTGTAGTAACAAAGATTCTAAAAGATGATACATTGAGTATTATATCAGAGTGAGCTTTCATTTAAAAATATTCAGATTCTAAAGGTTGTTGTTGATATGTACCAATGAGTCACCATTAACTCATAGTAATCCTATGCACAATGGCTCTGAGATTTTCTCTAACCTGAGCCAATCTCACTGTCCCTGATACACCTACCCTCATTGCTCCAGTTACTGTGTCAGTCCATCTAATCTGGGGCCTTCTTCTTCTGTGCTGTCCCTTCACCCTTCCAAGTATAATGTCCTTTTCCAGAAACTTGTCCCTCTTTGACAAAGTATGTGATATGGAACTGCAAAATCCTTGCTTCCCAGGAGTAGCTCAGTTTACCCTCTCCAAGACAGATTTGTTTGTTCTCTTGGCAATTCATGGTATTGTTCAATACTCTTCTTCAGCACTACAACTCAAAGGCATTAATTCTTATTCTGTTATTCCTAGTCATTGTCTAGCTCTCTGATATCTAACAAAGGCAAAGACCATGGCCTGAATCAGACCTTAGTCTCCAGACTGATACAATTTTTCTTTAGCATTTTGGAGAAGTCTCTGACAGCAGATTTCCCCAGTACAATTTATCTTTTGATTTCTTTACTGCTGGTACCAAGACTACTGATTGTGGATCTGAACAAACTGAAATTGTTAAAAACCTTAATATCTTTTTTTATCTATCATGGTGCTGTCACTTGGTTCAGTGGTGAGAATCTTCGCTTTCTTATTGAGCTTCAAGTCCTTGGCCTTCTGCAGCAAATGTTTCAGGCCCTCCTCAATTTTGGTGAGTAAGGTTGCTGCAGCATCAGGATGGATGGTGAAGAGATTGAGATTGTACACAGCTTTAGTTTGCTTGGCTCCATAGTCAACAGTCTTGGCACCAGCAGCCAGGAAATTAAAAGGCACATTGCCATGGGAAAGTCTGCTGTTAGGGACCTCTCCAAAGTACTGAAGAGCAATGGTGTCTCTCTGGAGACTAAGGTGCGTCTGATACAGGCCATGATCTTCGCAATCCCCTGTTATGCATCAGAGAGTTGGACAATGACCAAGGAGGATAGAAGGAGAATTGATGCCTTTGAGCTGTGGTGCTGGAGAAGAGTATTGAGAATACCATGGACTGCTAGGAAAACAAACAGATTTGTCCTGGAAAGGGTTAAACCGGGTGGCTCCTTGGAGGCAAGGATTCTGAGGCTCTGTCTAATATACTTTGGACATGTTGTGAGGAGAGACCGGTCCTTGGAGAGGGACATCATGCTTGGGAGGGTGGAGGGACAGTGCAGGAGAGGAAGGCCCTTTATGAGGTAGATTGATTCAGTGACTGGGATAATTGGGATGGGAGTGTCAGAGACAGTGCAATTGGCACAGGACAGGGTGGAGTTTAGGGCTGTTGTACATAGGGTTGCTATGAGTCGAAGGCGACTCGACGGCACATAACAACAACAATAAGGTTGCCGATGAGTTTTCCTCCAATCCTGATGCCACATGCTTCCTCATAAAGTTCAGCTTCCCGAATATTGATTGAAAAAGTATGGAGGCAAGACACACTCTTGATGCACTCCTTTCCTGATTTTGAACTATACAGTGTTTCCTTGCTCTGTTCTGATGACTGCTTCTTGTTACAAGTATAGGTTTCCCATGAGCACAATCAATTCTTTTTGGGATTCCCATTTCTCTCAAGGTTAGCCACAATTTGTTGTGATCCACACAGTCAAATGCCTTTTCATAGTCAATGAAGCACAGTTAGATATTCCTCTGGTACTCTCTGCTTTCAGCCAAGATTCATCTGACATTGGCGATAGTGTCTTTGGTTCCACCAGCCTCCGTTAAACCCAGCTTGTATTTCTGGTAGTTCTCTGTAAATATGCTGTTTCAGTAATTTTGTCATAATCTTCAGCAGGGCTTTGCTTGCTTGTGATAGCTGTGATATTGTTCGATGAACCCCATACTCTGTCAGATCACTCTTTTTTTGGAATGGAAACAAATATGAATATCTTCCTGTCAGCTGGTCAGATAGCTGTCCTCCAGATTTCTTAGCACAATCTGGTGAGCGTGCCCAGGGCAGAATTTTTCTGTTGAATTATGTCAACTGGTGTTATGTGATAGCCTTTATGAGTCTTTGTTTTCTTCCTGATATGTTTGGGGTTTTTTATTGTTTACTACAACACAGTTTTCAACTCAATCTCGCACAAAGTTTTGGTTTTGTGTGTAGAGTGATGTCTTCCAAAGAAATTTATTCTGCAAGTTGCTTAACTGTGTGAATATTTTCAACTTCTTTTTTGTATTCTTTTCAAGACATCTGCCATCTAGTCATTAGCCATGCAAGTGCAGCAGACAATCATCTTTGAGATTAATCTACTGAAAATAAAAGATGTAGCAACGTCGATGTAGGACTGAGGCTCAAAGGTCACTTCTGGAAGAAGTTTTAAAATTTATTTAGAACATACGGGAATTGTACTTCCAAACCAAAAGACAAAATTCATCTCTGGTACTTTTTAAAGAAAGCTTTCTCAGTCAAATCTAACTGAACTTTCATGGAAAGTTAGAAATTTTGTTTCCATTTTCAATACCATGAATGTGTATGAATGTATGTGTGTGAATATATTATGAACACAACTACTGTTTGGGACTGTGTTGCTGTGACAGAATGAGAGCATGTGAGTGTGAGTGTGAGACTGTGCATATATTAGTGTGTGAGTGATGTGAGAGTGCACAGATGAATGTGTGAATTGCATTGTGGAGGTGAGAGTGAGTGTATGTGTGCTTATGTGAATGTGGGTGTGTTCAATTAAATGTGGATTTATGGTGTGCATATATGAGAGTAAGCGTGCTGGCAATCTAAAGTACACTAACCAGATAGCAAGGATATATTTTAAGCTTAAAATTATTTGATATGAAATCCCAAAATCCATTTCGCATAGAACCTGATGTCAAAGAATAAAATGCAAATCACTTGTATTCTTATCATTCCTTAAAATGTTTCCTTTCATCCCCTTATAGCTCCTTGTAAATTTTTGCACTTTTATGTAGTATTGTAGAGTTGGGGATCTCACATGGAGACACAACATGAGCTGCTTTTTGACTTGACATTCTCAAGTATTTTTTGCTTGCCTTTGCCAAGTTATTTCAACGTCTCTGTAATATTGCATCCACATTCTCTGTAACAATTTACTTACCCTTTCTCTTGTGGGTGTCCAGTCTTGAAATTTCTGCTTTTAAATCATGGGGAATGATGAACTTGCCTGTGAGTCCCATGTTGTCGCCCTCAGCTCCGACCTCAGGAGGGATTAACTGGGTCAGGCGTACAAACATCTTCCTGGCTCTTGAGCTGTTCTGGACAACTGTTTGTAAGTGCATTTCTGATCTGAGTCTGATGAACCACTTTGATTTCACCTTCTTTCTCCTGCCAGCTCAGGACCGTCTGGTAAGAGAATATGCTTGATGGAGGGAGTTGGATTTGGGGCTGAAGTGTGTTTTTTTGCGTAACCACGAGATGGGATCTCAAGGTGGGGCCTGGACTGTAAGGTACTCACCTTTCCTAAAAGATTCCATCTGTTTAAAGTGAGAATAGGCTGTGACACGCAGGTGCCCCTGGGGCCCAGGCTGTGGCAGCAGCAGTGCTAACAAGCGGGCATAAGGGGCGGCTCCCAGGGAGAGCTCCCTCTGAAGCCATTGCCACTGGCAGCGACACAGCAATCACAAGGGCCCTTTCTGGCACTGGTGGCAGCTCAGGCCTCTGTGCTCAGGAGGGGCCGAGACCACTGTGTGGAGGCCTGGAGTCCACGCTGCCCTAGACCATGCTCAGGACCCTTGGGCTGGGCCTGCTGGCATTGCTCAGTGTGGTGGGCCCAAGCCAGGCCAGTGGCTTCACAGGTGAGGGGCTCAGGCTGGGGTGGTAAGTTCGTTAGGGATGGGGGCTCCCTGGGTGTGGCTGTGTGTTTGAGTGTTGAGTACGTATGTGTGTGCACTGCGTGCATGTGTGTATGCATACGTGCCTGTGCAATGTGCTCTGTATGCATTTTTGTGAACATTCTCATGCATAGGTGAATATGTGTGTGTGTGTGTTGTATACGTGTGTCTGTGATTCTTATGTGCGCATGTTTTGTATGTGTGTGCATGTGTCTGGAGGAGGGCTCTGATAATGTTTAGATGGAACGTTGTGGAGTCACAGGTTCTTTGAGAGGTGGTTCCTATTGCTTTGTGTGCAAACCTCTTTATGACTAGAAAGTGGGTAGTGTTCACAGTCACAGATCCCAAAGGTGGTACAGGGGAACATGCTGGCTCTTAGGAAGAGAACTCCTCCAGCTTGAGGTCACTTTGAGGGCAGAGGGGTAAAAACTCTGAGTCAGCAGGTAGCCTGGGGCCTACAGCTTTGCATTTCTCCCAGTGAAGCTGAGGCCCACAGGTCACAGGCCCAATGGGGCCACACTGACAGCAGCAAACAAGTTCAGAGTCCTGGTTCTCCTGAACCTCTGGAGGTTGAAACCACAATTTTATAGAGACTGTACAGCAGTGCTCAGTCAAGGAACACAGCTCACCAAGAACAGAATTACCACGGAGGCCCTGACCCTTGGTCCTTGCTTGGATGTCTTTTCTCCAGGGTCATGGGTCTGTCATCTAGTGCTCAGCAACCCTGCTAACTGGATGTGCAGTGTTGGGATCTGCGTGCCCTGCTTCCTCACTGGGAAAGAAGGAGCTGATGAGAGAGTACAGGGCTCAATGCATTCATGCACCCGAAAGTCTGGGTAACAGTAGCTTCAAAAAGCCATGCTGAATTTCTGAAACCTCAGATGTCAGGGATCTGAGATCATAAATCTCCTCTTAATAATTTCTTCTTGAACATTTAAGTTGGGAATTCAAAGCAATCCATGTGGTTCTAAAGTCAGCTTCATGTTTGCTCCGACTTAACATCTCCTTGTCTATCAAGTTATTGCCATTTATGTTGCCTTGATTTTTCCTGTGATGTAAGTAGTGTGTAGAGCACACAGCTCAGTTGCAAAACTGCATATGGTTAAGGTACAGAACCCTTAAGGAACTTAATGGCCCCTCATTTTCTGAGCAGCAGGCATCACCTGGATTCATCAGGGTTGCTGTACAGCTTTTTGCTCTTAGCTACAAAAGCAGTAGAGTGTGGGCTGAATTCTTACTTTGTGCCAGGAGCTACACTGATTTCATTTAATTCTATTATTTCAAGGCACAAGCAATAGCTCACAAAGGATGAGACAGGGTGGTGAGAATGTCAAGGCATTTGTACTGCTGTGCATGGCGCTGAGTCTGTCTGCCCCAGGGTTCACACGTCTTCCAAACCTTTCCCATCTCTGGCCTAGAACCCAGGACTCTATCACTTTATCACTGCCCTGAGGGTTCCTGAAAGGTTTGGCTGAGTGGAAGGAGCTGGCCTCTGCCAAGAAGTCAGGTCTGCAGAGGACAGCATGGCCTTGGTACTTATAAAGAACAGGGTCAACCACATAGATTCCAAGTACAGTCTCACAGGAGACGTGTGCGTATTTGTATAGACACGCACATGTGTGTTATCTGTACATGAAGGGGTGTATATGTGTATATTGTGTATGTGTGTGCACAAATATGTGAGTGTATATTTGTGGGTATGCTTCATGTATGCATGTAAATCTTCACAAGTGTGTATATGTGTGACTGTGTATGTGTATGCACGTGTCTGTGCGTGTTTGTCTGGAGGAGGTTTTTGTTAATGATCAGATGGAACCTTGTGGAGTCACGATGGTTTTCTAGAGCTGAGGATCTGTAAGCTTCATTAATGTGCTGGCACCTCATCCCAAGGTGAAACACAAAGCATTCATACCTAGCTCACTGCATTCTCACTGCTGACATCCTCGGGCATTGTCTTGTGCTCTGTGGTCACTAGAATAGTGACAATATTCAGTATGCCCATTTTCCTCAGTTTCATCCAAATATTGATGAGTTTCTGTCTTGTGCTCTGAGAAAGTATATTCTGTTGCACCCACATAAGGAGGAGCCTCCCTTTCTTCACAAAGCTCTCTGTAATCTACCTTTTTGTAATCTACCAAAATGTCAGGGGATTGTTCCTGCTGCGAGTCCTTGCTGACCCACAGGGTGGCCAGGCAAGCGCCTGAGGCAAAGCCCTTATTACTTGTGGAATGATTGCATCAGGGAAGCATGAAAACTCACCACCTGCCTGGTGTAGTGTTGGAATTAACAGCCCCCCCAGGTTTCTGTACCCATAGGTGGGTGGTGCCTGGACTCACCTACCTGTGTGAAGTCAAGGGATGGAATCCTCAGAGCTACTGTCCTGGAGAAGGGGGTGAACACGTTGCTCATGCTGTGACTGCCCTTTCTGCAGCCCCTCACAGAGCCTTCCACAGAAATCCAGCTATTCACTGGGAGACCAGCTGTTTGACTGAGTCCCTCCTCACTGGGTGCTGGCTAGAAAACTTGCACTCATCTAGTCTCTTTGTGCTGCATTAACCCACATTTCACAAATAGATGACATCAAACAACAGAAAGGTATTTTCTCCCAGTCCCGGTGGCTGGAAGCCTTGTCAGAGTCACGGCCACACCAGTTCCCTCCTTGTCAGTAACTCCTTGTCAGCCCTGGCTTCCTTGACAAGCCTCACAATCTTTTCTGCATGTAGGCCCGTCTCTGTATCTCATCTGCTCTTTTTAAAATTCAGAAGGGATTAGATTTACAGCTCCTCTACTCTGGTGCGCTCGTTATTTGAGGGATTATGTTGCTGTTGTCATTGTTGTTAGGTGCCGTTGAGTCAACTATGACTTGTATCAACCCTGTGAACCACAGAGCTGAACCTTGAGCCACACTCAGGATTTCTAATATGCCGGAGCCCCTTGTGACAGTCACTGTGCCAACCCATCTTGCTGAGGATCTTCTGTGATTATATGATACAGATGGTATTATGGAAAGTAAATGAATTGCATTATAATAGATTGAATCTATAGGTATAGAGATTAATATTCCAACATATATTGTGGGAAGACAACACAATTTAATATACAACAGAGTTCTGACGTTGAATATTGGAAAATGTGTGAGATTTGCAAAGCCTTTTGCTCTAGTCCCCTAGTGCTGCAATAACTAAAAATACCATGACTGGGTAACTGTAGAGAACAGGAGTTTATCCTCCAGTTTTGGAGCCAGAAGTTCAGGTCGGCGTGCTGGCTTTAAAGAAGCACAGTCCCTCCTTGTGGTGCTGCTTGGCTTATAGGGGGCTCTCTCTTTACGTGACCTCTCTCTCCTCAATATCTCTGTCTATTGTGTCTCTTTAAAATCCAGAACCTGGTTTATGACCCACTGTACTCTAATACAGGAACTCTGATGACATAATCCATAGGGAGTTATGGTGCTAACCCAAAGGCCGAACCTCTTGGGCAGTTCAAACCCTTCCGAGGAAGAAAGATGGGCAGTCTCCTCCTGTGTGATCAGTCTATAGGCTCAGACCCAGCGGAGGTTCAGCTAGGGGCTGGTTCAGACTCAAAGGTAAAGAGGTTTTTTTCCTGCTGTAGTATAGCTCCCTTAACAAAAGGGAAACAACCTACTTCCAAACAGATCAATCACATTTATAGATTCAGGGCTAGCATTCAATATATATTATGAGGAATACAAGTAAAATAACATTGTTTATTCATTTACACTGAGCCCATAAATTCAGAGAGCCCTTAGCCAGAGGCTAAGGGAGAACAGTTCATAGTTCCTGACTCAGAAGGCAATAGAAACTTCTGGGGGAGATGGGGAACCCCAGCAACTACTCGGAGGACAGTTAATGACAATGCGGCTCAAGGCTGGAGAATGTGTTATGTGCCACAGAATCTTGGGAACCATGTGATCAGGTTGATGAAGGGGAGAAGTGTGTTTATGCAGCATGAGCAGGTTTCCAGATGGCAAATGTTTAGTTCCTGACAATGGTTGTAGGTGGAGGAGAAGGTAGTGAGTAGAGGGAGCTGTGTCCTCTTTCTCTATTGGCAATAGATACTGTCTAATCAAACTCCGTCATCTGTAAATCTCCTCACACTTGCTTTCAACATTCATTTATTATTTCCTGACCTCAAAAATGGTCTTGTCATCCCCCAGGCCCAGTATGCAGTAGTCTTTCAGGGGTTAACTGTTGAAGGGCTTGTTACAGATTCAGTTCCCAAATGGTGAGTCTGTGGCACCATGATTCCACAGCCTGGGGGACTAGACCCCAGGCAGCAGAGGTCATGGGCCCCTGGGTTCTAGTTTCAAGTCTGTGTTCTTGCTTCAGCTGTCAGTCAGACATTAGGCTGGGAGGGGAGTTTCTAGGTGGTGCTGATTCTGGTGACTCAGGTCCACCCAGAGGTGCCTGGAAAGTCAGGGGGACTCAATGGTGTCTGATGGGTCATAAGAAGCATGAGATGGTTCTGAGAAGGTAGCTCCAGTCTCTGCAGGAGAGGATCACTTAGCACAGAGGTCTGTGTTATGCTCTATTCTTTCTAGTTTACACCAATACAATGGTGTTTTCAGAGTGCTTGGAGACACAAGCTCTGGAGAGATGGCTGATGGGCAGGTTCTGAGCAGTTTGCCAAGTGCTTCCTGCTTTTGGAGAAGGGAATTGAACCTTTCCTATTGATTTAATTCTAGTGTTTGTTTCTTTCTTTGGCTCCTCTGTCCTCCCTCTTAGAAAAAGGCCTCTCCTTGCTGAGCTACCAGCTGTGCAACTACCGAGTGACCCAAAATGTCCAGAAGGTCGTGTCCTTCCAGTCTTCCTCACTGACCTACACGTCCTGTGGGGGGTGGATCCCGTGGCAGCGGTGCCCCAAGACCGTTTACAGGACACGGTACCTGACGATGGAGGTCCCTGAGACCAGGAACGTGACCGACTGCTGCCAGGGCTACGAGCAGCTGGGCCTCTACTGTGTCCTGCGTGAGTTCTGGGGCTGGGTGGGGCTGGGAGGAGCGCTGGCTTGCCACCCTCCCCATGACTCCTGAGGAGTCTCAAAGAGAGTCACTGTGCACTTCTGTTAGCCTAGAAAGAGCTAGAACCTTCTAGAACGCTGGTTCTCAGACTTGGCCCTACGTCCATCAGGACCCCATGGGGAGTGTGGTAAAACACAGGCTGTGGGGCTTCAACTCCAGAGTTCTGTCTCAGTGAGTCAGGCATGAAGGGAGGGTGGTTCCCATTCTGTCCCCTCAGAATCGTATTCTGATGACTCCCTCGCGGGTTTGTTCTGATTTCAGGTTTAATATTTCTTTTTTTAGAAAGTTTTCATTGTTTTTGACTTTCATTGTCAGTATCTTTGTAAATCTAATCTTTGAACAGCTGGGGATGAACATCCGAGAACGCAATACATGTGTCAACACTGTATGTAGTACATGCTACTAACAATAAGATGTCCCCAAACACAAAAACGACATGGTTTTATGTGTGGTTCATTATAACTCAAATATGTCTACCCTGAGGAGAATTTGCATTTCTAGCAAGCTCCCAGATGTTGAGGCAGCCTCAGTAGGTGAAGGTGGGGTCGACTTGAGCCCTGTCTTCTGGGGCAGTGGTTCTCAGGTCACACTAAAGGCTCTGGACAGCTGAGAAACCCGGAAGTACTTGGGCCTTGCCCTCAGAGATGGGACGTAACTGGTCTGGAGAGTAGCTTGGGTATTGATTTTCTAGAAACTCCCCATGATTTTAAACACTAAACGTAGAATATTTTATCAAATATAATCCTCTTTTGAACACCAATAAAGGAAAATGAAGGGAGTGTGGTGGTTTAGAGGTGAAAGATTGTGTTGATAACTCAAACCCTTGCAGAAACCACCAGCTGCTCCAGGGGAGAAAGCTGGACAATCTCCCGAGAGATTTACAGCCCCCGAAAACACACTGGAGGGACAGCTACAGGTTGGTTCTGACTTGATGGTACACAGAAACAACAACAACAACATGTGAAAGAGTTGGAAGGGGTGCCTGGGCCCCTGCCTGAACCTTCAGGTCCCACAGCAGAACCATCAGTCTTCACTGAGTATGAAGGCCATTTCCCATAAGCTTCCTGGGGTCATTGTACCAGTGAGCATCCAGGTGTGAGGAGAACTTTCTGGCTGAAAGTTTCCAGGAGCAGAGATGAGAGCTTGCACATGTCTGCTGGTGGGAGGGGTGATGAGTATTGATTCTAAGTTAACATCAGACCTAAAACAAGCTCCTATATAGTCAGCTGGTGCTCCCTCCCTGCCCCCGACTGTGGTGGAAGGAAAGTGAGGTGTCTGTGTTCTACCTCAGGACATAAGGGCTGCTGCTTCCAAAGCAGAGTGTCAAGCTTTGGGCATGCTGTGGGGTACCAGGTGACCCCTGTGTCCTGAGACCAAGAAAATAGCAGACATTCTTCCTCACCTCCTTCCCAGACCTGGGGTGCAGGTGTCCTGTGGTTCAGGCTGTCAGTGAGGACCCTGCAGAGCGCCTTGTCACCTTGAGTCACCTTGAGCATAGTCACAGGGCACAGGAAATAGTATATTTTTCTATTGAACCCACCAGAGAGAGGGCTAGGCCCATGGAAACTGCTCCATTTTGAGTAGTTTGATGTAAGGAATTCCTGAATGGTGTAAAGTGTTAAGCCATGCTGCTGTAACCAGATGACTGAAGATTCAAATTCACCCAGAGACTCCTTAAAAAGAACAAATAAAAGATCTGGTAGTCTACTTTCCCTACAAAATTGGCCATAAAATGTCTGTGGAATATAGTTCTGTCCTGACACACATGGAGTCTCAATGAGCCAGAGTTGACTTGAGGACAGATAGCAAAGCATCTGTTTTGTTTATCTGATTTTATTTTAGTTGGGACCCCACTACTTGGACTTGTTCTCTGTTTCTGATGATTCTCTAAAGGGCACTTGCAGGGAGAGGCTCCCCATATCTTTACCTTCTGTCCCTTGCTGCCGACCCCAGGCGTGGGATCTAAAACACCCCCTTCCTGCCCCCCTGTGACTACACCAGTGAAGGACTGGAGTCCAGGCTGCAGTTTTGCTGTCACCTGCACCGGGAGCAGGCTCTTTTGCTGAGGAGGGAAGTTGGTGGGTGCATATTGGGGTGCACCCACTGCTATGACCTTGGGACACACACCTTGGTATCAAGTATGGGGGCTTCGCAGTCAGGCAGCTGTAGCAGAGACTCCAGTTCTGGGCTGCCTGGCACACTTCTTCCTACCTGCCAGCTGTGCTCAGGTGCATAAGGTCATGGTCAAAGGTCTGGGAGTGGTTCCAGCACGTGCTGACCAGTGGCTGACCTACCCCGGCTCCTGCACACCCTCGTAGCCCTTCGTGTGCGGAGACGTTTACCAGAACCTGTTGTGGTGACACCATGTGTGCCAGAGGAAACCGAGCCTGCAGAGTTCTCAGAACCCTGGTGGCGTAGTGTGTGACATGCTGGACTCTTAAGTGAAAGGTCAGCTGTTCAAAACTACTAACTGCTCTTTGGGAGAAAGCCGAGGCCGTCTGCTCCTTTAAAAATGTGCAGCCTTGAAACCTCAGTGGAGGATCAGTGTGTGCTGAAATCTACTAGACAGCCACAACTTTGGGTTTGACTTTGAACAATCTTTTGGAAGTAGAAGCCAGACTTTCTTCTTTTGCTTAGTGGCCAAATGCAATAACCATTCCAACACCCAGAGACTCCACCAGGACTCTGACCTTCCTGTAAGACACCCCACTTTGTCTAATAGCCTTTCTGCTGTGTGGCAGGGATAACTGGGATGGGGTCTCCCCATGATCTGCCCCTTATCCTTCTATCTCTTATAATCAAGCCACAGGAACTTCCTGCTACAGACCAGCCCTATTTTTAGAGCTTGGGAGTCTTTAATTAGGAACTCTCCAGGGTGAGGGGAGGGCAAAAATTAAAACATTCTAGTTAGAGGGTCCCATGGCAGGGAAAAGCCTGGTTCCTGGAGGGAGGCGGCCACAGTGATAGTGTCACTGGAACCAGGAGGGGACACGATGAAGGATGGTGTGGACAGCCAGTGGCCTCTCTAGAGAGATTGAACTATGACCCCAAAGAAAGGCGGGCATGCCTCAGGCCCCAGTCCTCCTGAAGTGTGAGCACCCCAGTCCCCTGGGGACGGGAGGGTCACTCTAATGGCTATGTGAGGTAGTGGACAGGGCCCAGGACAGAGGAAAGAGCTGAGAGAAGAGGGCGAGTGTGAGTGACTGAGGGAGCTCTGTGCCACAGGCTGTGTGGAGCGCTCCTCCTGCCTTCAGCCTCAGCGGATGCAGGGGACACTGGGAGAGTGGTGGGACCTGACCATGACCACAAAGCCAAGAGAGGCAGGCTGGGCACTGAGCACTCTGACTCCCAGGCTGTGAGCGCTTCCAGCTCATCCAGCTCTACCTCAGGTTAGATGGTTCTGTGGCATTTGAGGGGAGAGGTGCCAGTGGTTAAGTGCTCAGATGCTAATGAAGGGAGTGGTTGCTCTGTGTTCACCCCCAGGAGCCTCAAAAGACAGTGCTGGAGATGTTCTTCTCAAAGTTCCACCTTGACAGCCCCATTCAGCAGCGAGCCACACTGACACTCATGGGGAACCCTCAGAGTCAGCTCATTGGCGACAAGCTTGGGTCTTGACTTTTGGGATTTTATTTTATTCTGGTTATTTATTTCTTTTTGGTGGAGCAAATGGTTAACAGGCTCAGCTGCTGAGAAGTTGGAAGTTTTTGTTCATTTAGAAGGTCTGTCCCAGAAGGAAAGGCTGTGATCTCCACTGTTAAAACCAGTTCTAGAGCAGTTCTGCTCCGACAACTTGGGGCTGTTATGAGTCAGAAAGAACTTCATGGCAACTGTGGTTTGTTGGGTGTTTTTGTTTTTGTTTTTGTTTTTTAATAAGCTGGGGTGGTGATAGTGGCAGGAACAGGAGAAGGAATGTTTTGGGTTACTGAGCATGCTGGAATTCTTCCTTGGAAATGTCTGTGTTTGGTGCCAAAGCTCGGTGCAGGCCACGACCAGGGGTGGTGGAGCCAGTCCACTCCCGTGAACCATGAGCGTCTCACCCCAGGCCCATGGTCAGTGATGTCACACTTGTAACTTAAGCAGCCCTGGTGGGTACTGGCTAATACTGGACAATGCTCCCCTGACCGTAAGGGTTGGTTTGCCAGAACACCACCAGCTCAACCTTCTCTCCACTCACAGAGATGTTTTGAACAAATTTTTAGTATTTCATTCAGGCTCAGTTGGAGATGCCACAAGAGAGGCTGGCTGGGTGGAACAGTGGTAAGTGACCAGCTGAGAACTGCCTGTCTAATTGTAGACAACAAGGCAGGACCGAGGCCAGGCAGGTGGATTTCAGGGATTGTCTTGAAGACTAGGGAAGGACAAAAGACAAAATCGGCAGTCTTCCCTGTGCACAGGACTGTCATGGTTACTAAAGTGAAGTGTTGTCCCCCAGACAGCAGAGAAGCATCAGACTCCCTCCTTTATCTCTCCACTCAATAGCAAATTATCTGCTGAAGAGCAGAAAATTCTAAGAACACAGGTGATGTTTTTGTGTAAATGTCCTTCAACTTTTAAATTCAGCATTTGAACCTCTATCATAAGTCATACATTGTTGTTAGGTGCTGTTGAGTTGAGTATGACAGAATATGAAGAATAGATCATATCAAATTACAGAAAATGTAATGTTGTTGTTGATTGCCGTTGAGTTGAGCGTGACTCATAGTGACTCTATGAACAAAAGACCTAATGCCTTTCCATAACTATCGTCATTTCTCCAAGTTCATAGTTTCTGGAGGCATGTGGTTTAGGAAGTGGATGAAACTCCTCCTTCCAAACCTGTTTTACAACTGAGAGCTCCACCACTGTCCACATTGGGAAGCTGTTCTGGTATTTGATACCCCAATGACACAAGGTTCAGCATCACTGCAAACCCAGGTTACTTCATATTGCACATTGACAAAGAGTGAT